GATTATTAGATGTGTTAGGATGTCAACCTATGCATTACCCGGTTGAGGTGTGTGCGTCGATGACGGTCTCGATCTCCTTTCTTGCTAAATCGCCGCCCGCACTCAGCACATGGCCACTGCTTGCGATCCATTATTTGCATGCACACTCGCGCGAACGGAAGAGAGGGAGTGAGAAGGAGAAAAACAAGAGAGATGAGGGTGCCTGGTCTCCCTTCTTTTCTCTCATGTCAACAGCTGTTACTGACTTTCCCCCTCACGCACACACGTGTTAAATTACTTCTTTCCAGGGAATGCTCTCTGCTAGCGCTCTATGCCCCGACTCCGTGCCGTCTCGCATCAGCAAGCCGTCTGAGAAATGCATTGAAGCCTGAAATTTTCTACACATGTTAGGATGAAGTGAAAACCCTGTTGTATTAACGAGAGGAGAAACCGTGCTTATTTTAATAATGATTTGCTGCTAAATATTAATTCACATGGCTCTTCTTGTAAGCTCGATAGACATTCTTTTGATGATACATTTCCTTCTTTTTCTCTTTCAATGAAACGAAATAGATTTTCAAGAGAAATGCTTTATTAACAAGATTAAGCATGAATCAAAGTGTGTCGTATATACAGATGAACATATATATTTGAACCGATCCGAGTTGGTATACATATGTAGCAGTTGAGGCGATTGAGGACAATGCTTTTTATTTCTCCCCTCCTTGCGCGTCTACTCCGGACAAATGGTGGAAATCCACGTCTTCCTCAACGATTAGCTCTGAAGAAGCGTCTGTAGACAAGAGAATAAATCAATAAAGAGTGTATTCGTTACCAGACAAAAAATTAGAGACACGAACTTACCCGATTTGAAGGTAGTCGTTGGAGATCGTCTGTTTAGAGCATCGATCATCTCATTTCCATCCTTTTCCGTGTTAATGTCGTCAGGATTGAGGGAATTATCGTATGGGATATCCATGATGTTATGTCCTCTTATCAATGGGCAGTTAGGGGAAATCTACGGTGTTCCTCGTACGGATTGTCTCCGTATTCCCAGTTGTGAATGATCAAACGACAAAAAATACAAGCTGTTTCATCGCGGATCCCGGTATAATATTGACCCCATCTTGCCATTTCATCAGTAGATACAATGTATCTCTTCGGAAAGAACTCGAGCGAGCAGAGTCGATTGGCATTAGAAAGCATCTTCTTCCGGTTTGGGTTGAAATCTTCATCGTCGGATGGATAACCCTTGCTCAGAGCACGAGATGAAAATTCCACATTCGAAAAACATTTGCCAGTATTTGAATACGCTTCGTAGCTAGGAGGTAAGTGACGATGTCGCAGACGAATGGTTTCACTCGATTCGCTGGTGATGAAGAAGGTCTTCAAACGGCATTTCCCTCGGCAAAATGCACAGCATACGATGAGCTTTGATAATTCTTCCAAGTTGTCCTGTAACTTCGATGCGGTCTTTAGATCAACGTCCAGATAGAATCCCCACCTGACGAACTCGGCCACATCCACGTAAGCAGCTATTGCAGAAACACAGTTGAAAGTCTTCCTGCGTTTGTTCTCAGTGAACAACGCGAGGGCGAAATTATTGTTGGGCTTGGCAAGCGCAGCTTCAGTGCTATCACCTTCCATCTTTTCGACTGAATAATAGCGATACGATACCTGATGGTCGTATATTTTCTTTCACAACATACTCGCTGCTCCCCTCCCCATCACGTCCTTGGCTGTCAGGGGCCGAGGCTGTAAAGCAGAAGAGCGTGACGGAAGAAACCACCACAATCATTACTCATAGGAAATAATGAGTCCAAACACGTTGGCGTAATCGATCCCTCCATTCGACCCTATCGATTACCTTGATATGAAGCGGTAATGACAAGAATCAATTAAACTGGGAATTTATGCCGCGAGATTCATGCCATAATATTTTTCAATTCGAAAAATCGCTTCATGAAGGTACATGGATAATGCAAATCATCGCGCACTCGATAATTCAACGTTAATTCACCGAGTACTCGTGTAAATCGATGATAACCCGAGGTTAATTCATATGAAATTAGGGTTATATAATAAATACGATATTGCTCCGCTGCTCCACCATTGCTCCACCAGTCAAACTTACCTATTTTATACTACTAGTCGCTATACCGCCCCATTTTACCCCCTCACGTCTACCCGTTTTGCCCCATCAGCACTATCTATGTCACTGACAAACAAAAGGTGAGTGACCTATTCCAAACATCATAACTTCATGTAATAGTTTACGTTTTCAACTTAAGCCAAAAACAATATCGGACACCTCGAATGTTCCCATGTTAGTTTGTTTGTACCATCAGAAACTCGAAACAAAATGAGAAAGTCGATGTTTTATTGTTTTTCTCATAGGGTATTTACAATCTACTTCATAGAACGTCACCATGCCTGAAAACTTGCCCCGTGGTAGGGGGTTAAAATGGGGTAAAAACCCGATGGAGAACGGGTACAATTTGGTTAAAAGCTAAGTTCTCCCGTTTTGCCTCACTCTCCCTTTCAGATTATTCGTGTCGAACTAGGAGAGCGCTCAGCGCAATCTTTTTTTGCACTACCTTATATCCTTGTCCTTCGCTCACATTATTTGACTGATCATTTGAGCAGAAACGGGCCAGCATAATTCTATAGGCTGGCTGGCTAGCGATGCTAAGAAGAACCCTAAGGCTTTTTATCGGTATGTTAGTGGTAGGTGTCAACAGTCGATCGGGCCGCTAATGAACGAAAAGAGGGAGTTGATTGCAACTGATATGGCCAGTATACTTAACGAGTTCTTCGCTTCCGTTTTCACTATGGAATACGACTCGGCACCAACTTTGGAGGTGACCTCGGCGCGCATTGAGGATATTTCCATCACCGAGGAGACGATCGTGAATACAATAGGGAAGTTATCTTATCGCCCATTTATGATTAAAGATAAATAAAATGTGTGAGATTCCATGTGCCTTACAGCCACATGAATCATTCCCGAAGAATTCTCTCACTCTAACAATCAAATATATATATCCCTTGGTGCTAACAATGAATTCTTGACAAAGCATGACAGTAAGAATTATATATAATTGCGCAACGCCTGCTGAAAGTAAAGCCTCAATTTTCAACTTCAATAATTAACAAAGTACTTAATCCAGGCCTGAGATCCAAACTTGAAAAGGAAAAACTTGATGAAAATACACTTCTCTACATCAAAGGAAAATAAAAATGAAAAGATGTTGGGTAAGGTAAAGACTTAATCGAATTATCACAAGTGAAGTTATAGGCAGAACAGATGAGAGATGATCACAGCATTTAATGTAGATATTCATAAGGGAGTGGTTCTCTAACCCCCCCCCCCC